AGTGATGGTATATGTGGAAGAAAGACATCGGATCCATCTATATAGAAACTACTTTTAGAATCACCCCAATATAAAAATAAAAAAAGAAGAAGAAAGTTAGGCATAACTTTAGCTATATGCTACCAGCACAAGGATTCAACCATAGTTCAAATATATTGAACCGGTGGGTCGAATCGGTGATCAACTGCGTTCAACCCAACACTGCAAAATTGTAGGTTGACTCCGGCCAAAAAGTGAAAAACAAAAATGTAACCGAAATATAATAAACTAAAACAATGACAGATTTAAAAATTGTTAAAAAAAAAAAAACAAAAAAAAGAATTCAAAACAACTCAAATCAACCATGTTTTTGGCTTTGAATACAAATGGAACCCAACAACGATGGATTTCAAATCCGCCAAAATGAAATGCAACTTTTCTTGTATGAAAAACATGAAAGAGTTTTTTATTTAATTTCAAATCAAGTCCGGTTAAGAAGTACAAAAAAAATTATTTTCTTGAAAAACAAAATGGAAAGCTTTTTTACCTAAAAAATTCACTATCGATTAAAATATTATTAATTTTTTACAAGAACAATCAACTAAAAATATTGTTTCAAATCATGTAATACATAGTGTAGTTTGAAGAAATAACAGAAACAAACTAAAGAAGATGTAGGGAAAAAATTAAAATATATCCTTCTTTTTTGAGAAATTGAGGTGTTTTTTTTTTTGTTTTCAAGAAAATAAAACCTAACACATTTGATTCTAGATTTCTTTGGACAAGGTTGTTGAGCGGAGGAACTGTTTCATATGTTTGTTAGATGTCTCCACTGTGAATTTTTTGACACAAATTCCTACAAATTTGGTTGAAAAAAATCAGGAGAAATCAAAGAAAAAGCAGATTGAGAATTTTGAGCTAAAATTGGCAAAAATCTCCTTTGATACTAAAAAGTTTTAGCTATCATAGATTAATGGGAGATCAAAAATTTGTGACAAATGTGAGAGGATTTGGAGAAGAAAAGAGAGAGAAATCAAATGCAAATGTTGGTTTTGTACAGTAGAAAAAAGGAAAAAATAGTCGATTTTCCTTTTGGCATGGTGAGTGGTTGGATCAACTCTCGGGAGATTTTCGAGAATAGGGTTTTGGAGAACCCTTGGGCAGAAGATACAATGGTCCCTACGATCCTAGGCTGCTGGAAACCAGAATTTGGAAGACAATCATGTTTTGATAAACTTCTAGGAATCTTGATGATTGTCGTGTCCCCCCTATTTGATTGAACTTGGGATGCTGGGGTTTTGAAAGCTAGCTACTTTTAAACCCACGTATGAGCGTTTAATATTCTCTTAACATAATAACATTAGTCATAGTCCACTTATTGAGGGAATGGTCGGGAATATCTTTCGATAGAGTAGAATGGCGGGTCAAAATTCCTGTAGTCGACTTCAATTAATTGAAAAAAATGCTACTATTATGATAATTTAACTAATAAGTAAAAAATACTGTTCACAAATGGAATGTAGTACTAGATAGCACCCCATAACTATTTCAAGCATGTAACAATGTGATGCTGACATGAGATTTGATGATGTATGCTCTAAACCAAAGAAGACATAAAACATATTACAATTTATAAACCATATGCCAAACAAAATAGTCATATAGTTTCAATACAAACCAACTACAACATGCCCAATACAACTTTTCTCCATCTTCTAATGTTGGCCACAATTTTGCCCCACAATGTATCATTGAAGCTGTGGTTAACCCTACTCTAAAATACTTTTCTCATCATTCTCATTCTATATTGCACAAGTGTGCTCACAACATTTTTCCATGATAAGTGTTCATTGTTGAATGAATCATACTATTGTAGCCACTTTTGGGCCTTGAAATTTATAGTGGTGGTATTGATATTGGGCAAGAAAACCACACATATTTGTGTAGCTCGAATCGATGAGGTAGTTTTTTCCTACATCGATTTAGGAAGATATATCAGTGACTTGTCACTCGGTATGATACTGTACTAGTGGCAATTCAAAGAGTTTACCTTGATACAATTTCAATGCCTTAATCTGCTTACGAACTACATTGCATAATAGAATCTGGAATATATCCTTCCCATCCAAGAAGGGTATAATGGAACAACATATCAAAAGAAACTATCGTCATTACATTGTAGGATATGTTGCACCATTCCAAATGTTATG